CCCCAAAACCCCAAAACCCCAAAACCCCTTATTAGTTGATTTAAGTTTAAGAGATAGGAAAAAAGAATTATTAGTAAATAATCAAGAAAGATAAAATGGGCAAAAATCCAAATGCTAAGAGATTGAAGGAGAAAAAACATAAGGATAAGGTCTATGAGAATAACGTTGAAGATCTCGAGGAGGAAGCAGCCAGACTAGGCATGACAGTATTTGAGCTATAAGAACAAAGAGAGCGTGAGAATAAAAATAGCGATGATAGTGATGAAAGTAGTGGCAGTGAGGAGGAAGCTAAGACACAAAATAAGCCATAACAAAAGAAGAAGAAGCTTATTGAATCTGAAGATGAGGAAGAAGAGGAAGAGAAAAAGGCTCCAGCTAAGAAAGACGATGAAGAAGACAAGGATAGTGAGGATGAGGAACTCGAGAGACTATATGGTAGAAACGATAACAGAAAGCGTCAAGCAAATTTAGTCGAGCCTACTGAGGATAGTGATGAGGAGGAAGGTGCAGCTGCTTCCAAGAAAAAGAAGCTGTAGTAGATAGCTGAGAAGAGAAAGTTAGCTTAACAAGCTAAAAAAACTCCAGGTGTAGCTGCTGCAAAGACTACCACTGCCAATATTGCACCTCAACAAGAAAAGAAGGCAGCTGAAGAAACTAAGAAAAAACCTGAGCCAAAGGAATAAGCAGAGGAAGAAGAGCCCGTGAGTGTCATCAAGAAAATAGACCAAGAAGAAGAGGAGGAAAAGGGTAACCCATAATAGCAATAAGAATACAATGAAGCTAGAGAGGAGGAGAAAAAGAAAAACAGGGAGAGATTGGAGGAGATCAAAAGAAAGAGGGAGTTGGCTAAAAAGGAAAGAGAGGAATAGGAAGAGAAGAAGAAGGAATCATTGCAAAAGCAAGAAGAAATGCTTAAGAAAATGGAGGAGAAGCCAGCTATCAAGAAGAAGAAGGGCCGTATGTTCAGATGAATCAGACTATACTAATAGTCTTATATATAGTTTTAACTTGCTTACAATTAATTAAGGAAATCGCCAATCAATTTAAGATATATCAGTATAAAACTATTAATAAAGATATTCAATCAAGCATAAATCTTTTCAAATCTTGCTGGTGCTCAGTAGAGGTTTGTAAAATTGATTGATAAGTACTTCAAAGTTTTTCCTGCTTTACTTAATATTGCCAACTTCCCAAGTTATTCCTCTTACTTATTCATTCATTTTGTATTCAGTCTTATCAATTAGATTGTATTCTTGATTTTATTCAAGGCTCTCTACGAACTCATTGAATTTACTCATACTTAGCGGGCAAATATCTTCGTTTTGAAAGATCAATAGCTACTTTTTATATTTATTATCAGTTTCATCCATATAGTTAGTCAATACTGCGAAAAAGCCAAGGTTCTTAGATATCATTAGGCTTTCCATGCTTTCAGCAATCTAATTGAATCCAAAGTGAGAGATTAGAATTCTCATCGGCACGAAAGTTGAGCTCACCCCAATACCTAACTGACCATCGTTTAGCAGGAAATAGGATTTAAAATCCTTAATCAGAAGGTTTTTTACTCCTAGCTGCAAGTTTAAATCAATACTTGATATGGAATTGTAGAGATTATCGAAATATGCCTTTCCATCTACATCCGCTACTTTAACCAGATAATTGTATGCATCCAGATCTTGCTATGTCCATTTAGAGTCTTTTAAATTTTCGTCAAAGAAGAAAGAATCAAGAACGATTGGAGCAAGCATGAAGTAGGCAAGGTCCTTATCAATATGTAAAAGAAAGTCACTCATGAATCTGTCTATAACTAAAGTCGTAGCACTACCAATCAATTTTATATCTTTCTCCTTCAACTGCTCTAGATAAAGATTATTGTCGATATGATGATCAACTATCCTTCTTATTTTAGGCTCTAAGAATGTTTGAGAGACATCTAGCTTATTATGATCAATCAATGCTATCTCGTCTATTTATTCTTGCTCAATCCCTTTTAATTCATCATCATAAACGAATTCCTCTAGATTATCTAGTTAGCAGCTCTTGAGATGCTAGCAAATTTCCAATTTCACTGGAAAGAGTTCCTTTGAGCAATTAATGATTGGGGTGAAGTTTGAATGCTCTCTAAGATGGTAATAGTATGAAAGCAGCATAGAGCCAACTACAGAATCCATATCACAGGATACATTGCCCATACATAATTAAACCTTCTAACTTGCACTCCTTGTTTTGAAAGACACCAAAGATTTTTTAATAAAATGTCTAAATCCTTCCATTACTAAGAATAATAAAAACACTAAAGTTTTATGCCAAAATATTTTTATTCAAAGAATGACGGGGTTTTGGGGTTTTGGGGTTTTGGGG